AGATTATAAAAAAGTAAATTATTGTTTTAAGGAATAATGATGCAAAAGCAATTATATCTACGAAAATATCCATTCTTTTAGTATAGAGATAAGATCATAGATTAACATTGCCTATAGGTTAGCATTAGCTTCTATTCTTAAGCATTGTATGTAATAATACACGAATAATACATGATATACATGTAATAATACATGAATAATACATGGCAACATTTTTTTCATGTATTATCCCATCCCTAATCATTACTGAATATACAGTACATATGGAATGCAATCAATGCTATCGTGAATTTAAATTAACACAAAACGAGAAAATATTTCTCTCAATTGTGGGCAAAATTAGCCGAAAAGCACAACAAACACAACATTAATAATAAATTCTGGAAAAAGTAGTAAAGCCTTCAGTGTTTGCCATCATTATTACGATTAGAGATAGGAATTAAAGTTTAATTACTTTAATATATTTCATATTATGGTTGTATTGGCTTTAATGCTAAGCTTTGTTGTGTTAAACGGCGACATAATCTCGCTGTTGATGTATATGACAGTAGGGGTACTGTTTTGGGGTACTATTAGGGGTAGTGTTTGGCCACTTCGGTGGGGGACACAAGAGTTTATTCATAAGACAGTATTAACACCAATACAATGATTACTGAATCAGGTTTTTGATTGGTTTGATAGCGACTATAATATCCATAAATCGCCGCATAATAACACACAATAAATTTGCTGCGAATAACAGCAACACATAAAACATGAAAAACTCATTTAAATTGTCAACCAATTCATCCCAAACGACCACTACTTCAACACTAAGCGTACGCATAGTATCGCCACTACATTACCACCGATGCCACCAAAAAAAAGCCAACGGGAGGTAAAGGCGCTCACAAACCACCAAATGTTACATTATTTTATACAATAAAAAGTGTTTTTTAACTTAAAAACTTTTTTCATTTGTGAGCAAAAATGCATTATTTTTGTGCACAAAGAACATCACTCTATCTATTCTTTTGCTCTCCAATTCTCGTTTGAATATAAAATATATCTAATTTAAAACCACTATTTTATTGTATGACTATTTTGCGAGACATAATATACTGTAGTTTTATAATTACTCTTTAAAAAGCAATTTCATTTAAAATTAATTGTATTTAAAATCCCATTTTAATCCACGAGTTTATAAATTATTACTTGAAGTCATTATAGGAATAAAAAGTATATTTTAATTAATAAGATTTGTTTGTAAACATGTTGTGGGCTATAATATACAGTATATTATTGAAAATTTAGTGTTTAGTTTAGCGCTTTTTAGTTGGCCTGGTCTATGGGTTTGGAGGTATTTTTAGGTATAATTTGGTGATATTTAGGTATTGGAGCCCCTCATGAGCCCCCCTCCTGACGGATGGGTGAACGTCCTTCAGAGCCAACACAGAGACCCCCTATTTATTTGAAAATTCCATTAAATTTTGAAACCGTTTATTACTTTTTTGTGCAAAACTATTACTGACTACTAAGTAGTAAATATTTTTATTGATTTTTATGCTCTTTTACTGGTGTTTCCAATTAGTTAGAACTCCAGAACATAAAACATAAGTGCCTTTCGTCTAAACCTTATTGAAACAAAATTGCCTTTTAAAACATCTTTTAAAGTTAGACAATAAGTATTTATAAGTTTAGACCATATATTCGTCTCTCTCTCTCTCTCTCTCTCTCTCTCTCTCTCTCTCTCTCCGAATGAATTTGAATTTTTCAATTAAAAATATTTTTGATTAAAAATTTTATTTTTTAAAACTTTCGTTTTATGAACTTTTTATCGCAACCATTATATTGACATTTGTATTAATAAAACAAATTCTTTTTGATAAATCATTTTCTAAATGTTATTTATCTATAAATATATCTATTTTAATATGAATTCTTAATCTAAATTGAAAAAGAAAATGGTTTCAAAAGCATTTGATAAAATTATACTTGATCTAGATCAAGTCATATTGTCTTAGAAATGTGATATTTTTTGGCTCAAAAATGTGCAAATGGTTATTCACAACCAATATATTCTTAAAATTATATCATGTAATTTTTGTTGAAATAACTGCAGCATATTTTTTGTGAATGATTACATGAATTAGCTTTATGTGAAAACACAATTTATTTGTTTATTCTAACTTAATTCTAATCTAGTTTATGCTAATCTAATATCAATATAATTATATTAATAATATCTGTTTATTTGCCATATTAATTACCATATTCTAATATACTGTATTTGCACAAACATAAAAAATATTTCAAAATAAAATCTCATATCACGAGTGTTCACAAAATTTTCACAAACATTTAGAATTTGATCTAAAATGTAGTATTTATTACAAATAATGGTGAATTTGTCAATAAAAAGTTATTAAAAATAACTTATTATTATTATTTTTCATTCTTTAGTTCATTCTCTGATATTAATAAGGGTTTTATAAATAGATGAACAGAAAAACTAATGTATTTCAGATTAAGCCTTGTGTTACCCTTTGGGATGAGTTACTCATTAATTACCTGTGAAGCGTTAAATACCCAATTGGCCGGCCGTACCATTTGCTAACAATATTAACTCAATTTACACCATATACTCAACATGTATTGTCTTCATATAGTCTCTCTCTCTCTCTCTCTCTCTGAATGAATTTGAATTTTTCAATTAAAAATATTTTTGATTAAAAATTTTATTTTTTAAAACTTCTCTCTCTCTCTCTCTCTCTCTCTCCTGTCTACTGTACACAAGACAACAGTAGGGAATGGAAAGGAAAGGCAGCAAAACATAAATGCTTTAATAAGTTAATAGATAGACATAACACCAAACCTGCAAACATATGCCAAAACACACATTTGAGTACAGGTTAGCACACAATGGCATCAAATCATATTTCAGGTGTACAACCAATCCATACTCTCAACAACAATGTACACAACACTACACAACACTACTCTATATCTCCCCCTTAAAAGTGAGGCCTTTTTTGGGTCTCATTGAAACAAACCGGTAATAATTGTGATTTGCGTTTTGCCAAACAGTTCTCAACTGATAAATAAATGTTTATTTTCTATTTTCATATTTCATTACTTTTATTATTTGAAAATTTGATTTATTTTTCTCTATTTTCTCAATTATTTCTGAAATTTATTGCTTATTATCGGCAAAATATTTTTGGCAACGATTTGCCCTTAAAGATAGTGCCCATTGCCTGACAGTCACTATGATATCAATGGCCTATCAATGAATTGCTTATCACAAGTATTAGGTTTCTGTAGGTTTGATTCAAACCGTCTGAACACAGCATTCATACACTAATCTGGTGTTTGAGATCTTCTATCATATTTCAAATATTATTAACTCAAAAAACTTCTCTCAATTCATAATAAGTTTTTACACAACAAATCATTTGCTGTTTCGAAGCGTTAACAACGAAATCATAGTTAAAATTAAAATGTTTGTGATATTTAAAGTCTGTTTTTTCATAATTGGATATAAATTAAGCATAAGTTTGTTGTTGAGGTGATTGCGAGAAGACGTACTCCTCATTAGCCATAATTTAGTAATTGATGAAAAGGATGTGATGAGAGAGAGAGAGAGAATGTTGTGTATTCGGTGTCCTCAAGTGTGAGCTGTGGGCCCGAGTCGTGGGTCGGGATAGTGTTTAGTGGCAACGATTGGTCAAACCCTTTGCACTTTCTCTGCGGTACAATAGGCCAAACCCAACCCCTTATGTGTTTAGGTTTAGAGCTTTTTGTAAGATATGTGCAAACGATTGGATGTTTATAAAAGAGATGAATAATAAAATGAATTTAGTTCTTAACACTCGAAACTGTTGGCAATTCACTACTAATTCAGTGCTTTTTGTAAGTGTTTTAAAATTTTATTTATGTATAACTGTTTGCAAACTCAACCAATGCTTGTTTGGACTATTTTGGTGTTGGGCTCTGCCTTCGGGCCAAATAGTGGTTGAGTTCTCAGTTCTTGTGCTCATATATGCCATACAAAGGGAACATAACATAAGAGATAGTCTAAGACTCGTTAGTCTTACGTTATATAAGTTTTTTGCTGTAATTAACTCGAGTTAAAGCGAATCCCAAACATTGCAAACACAGCCACAGCTCTGGCCGATCATTGGATGGCTGTTAATGTGTTGGTATAGTATGCGAGCGCTCGCATACCTGCCTACAGGTTGTTTAGTCGTGCCATCACTTCAATCCCACCTCAACTTCTTCTTCCAATGAAAATCATTTTTTAATTCAATTTTTACAGCCATTGTTCCAACGCATCACATCTCATATGATATGCCGACTCGGAGGCCAAACTGGCCATTCATTTGGCACAATATCACACAAACCACCATTAATTTAGATACTAATTTCGCCGATCCTTTATCTCATTGTATGCATTGTTTGTGTGTGTCTTCTTCTCGAACCCTCATCTCCACCAACACATCCACCAACACATCCACCATCACATCTAACATCACATCCAACATCACTGACATCTCCTCCACCTCTTCGCCGCATTCGGCAAAAACTGTGAAAAATAGACTCAGAAGTTATTCTGTGTCCAAATCGTGTCCGATATCGGCAACAATTGCTATCTTAATAGTCATAATGTTATTCATTGATGTGACTCTTGCTTGTGGTCCGGGAAGAGGTGGGGGTCGGAGAAGAAGTCCGAGAAAACTGACTCCTCTTGTATTCAAACAACACGTTCCCAATGTATCTGAGAATACATTGGGCGCCAGCGGACAGCCCGACGGCAAAGTGACCAAAGATGAGCAGAGGTTTAGAGAATTAGTGCCAAATTATAACAACGATATCATCTTTAAAGATGAAGAGGGGACGGGAGCTGACAGACTCATGACTCAGGTATGTCTCCATCACTAACTTATTATAACTTATACTAACTTATGCCAACTTTCCCCCACTTTTACTGGCAATGAGTATTCATATTGAAATGAACGAGACGTTAATCTCGGAACTAATTTCTAGATGTTTTAGCTATGAGTTGATAATTGAAACAATTGGTTGTGTTGTGAGTGATGTTAGACTGGTTTGAAAGTGTATGGGTTTTAGAGGTAATGTGTTAATTGGATGACTGGATAAATGAATGAAACAACTGTTGCTATTCTTAACATGTATTTTGAATATCAAGTGATAATTGAAAAAAGATTTTGTGAAGAGATGTGAATAAATACAATGAACTGAAAATGAAATGATATATAGATTTGAAAGATTTGAATGAAGAGTAAGAGTGTCGGCGCAGACGTCGAATGGATTCTGTGTTTTCTATATAATTATAATAATATATATAATAATAAATATAACTCTAATATAATTCTCTTCACATATAATATTAACAATTATTAGCTATAGTGTAGAGAAGCTAAGTATAAGTTAAAGCAAAAAAGTGCACAAAACAGCAGAGCATAGCCGAGTAGAGTATAGTTTGATGCCCATTATGCCAGTGCCTCGGGTGCTGGTTGTGCACCAAAAAAGTAACTGTGGTCACCCTGAGCCTAGCGGGAAGGTGCAAATTACAAGGAGAGAGAGAGAGAGAGAGAGAGAGATGACTGGTATGTATGCATAATATACATCAATATTATATTCACTATTGACTATTGAATATAACAAACAATTCATATAAGCGTTTGTATTAATTGTGATATTCTGGCCCAAAATGAAAGGGAATATTCGTGTATTGTTTTTCAAAATATAAATTATATCACAACTAAAACTAATAGAACTAACAATTGATTGTTTTTATACCTAACAATATTCTACATTATGTATAGTATGGAAAGTAGTATGTATTGTGTGGAGCCAAAAAACAATGACAATCGGTTGGGGACTCGTATGACAATATGGTATTAAAGATCATACAATAATATGAATGGATATAATGTAAATCAATACAAACCTCCTTCCGCTTCGCAAATCAATAATACATTGGAGTTCTCGTCGTACGGACCGACCAGTCCTTCCAGACGCTGGCCCTCCATATCCATGATTAGTACTTCTTTGGGAGGCACTGCACATATTGGTCATAAAACATGTAGATATTTATTAATTAAATAGTCTTGTATTGTTTAAATAATTTTAATGGGTATAATGCTAAGTAACTTGATGGAAATTTATCATTTTTGAATTTTTTAAATAAATTATGTTTATTATTTGATAAATAAAGCAATCGAGGTAATTACAATATCTGTAGCAATGGGTGTATAGAGCGTATAGTAATAGACTATTTATAATGTAACAAATGTATTCATAACGTGATTAAGACTAATTAATAAATAATTATATTCATTAATACAGTAATGGATATCAAAAATGTTTGTGAATTGAAAAATATTTTCAAACATTACTGCATAGAAAATATGCTTTAACTTTGATTTTGCAATTTATAAATTACATTACAATCAATCATTCATCTCGTGTTCATTGTATGGGAATATATTGTATTTGTATTGTGATATACTTGCCATATGTATATATACAAACTTATAGATTGTATACATACTGTATATGAATGTATACGTGTAGACGGCATATATTTAATCTATATAGATTTTGAAAGGCACTCAAATAAATTAAAAATCTAACTCATTTTTATTTCACTTGACATGTTTTAATGGCAAACTTGTTTAAAAATATTTTGGTAACAAAAGTAAGAAAAAGATCAATAATTAAATGGTAAACATTGAATTGTAACTGAAAACTACTTTATTATTGATTAAATAAGATCTATCATTGTAAATAATAATAATATTTTATTCCGGCAAATAAACACCATGGTAAAATCATATTTTAAACAAATTAAATATTAAGCATATCCCTATTTATTCCAATTATTTTAGGAATATTTTTGTTATTCAAAAAGTTTTAAAAAATATTAATATAAATACTAGATTAATTAAAAAACATACCGGTAACATTGAGCTGAACGACCACGTTCTGGGTCCGGGCCTGTCTGTAGTCCACACGGCACCGGTACTCTCCCTGATCGTGTCCGGTCACGGGGTATATCTTGAGCACCGGCGGTGTGGCACTGGTGTCAAAGTGAAACCGTTTGCCCAACTCGTCGGCCGGCGAGTGCTTCGACTTAGACAACGGTGTGTTGCGGGCGTCCACTCGGTATATGGGTATACCTGTGCCGCCCCTATACCACAGCACTAGCGATACGTCGTTTTCGCCCCAAATGCTCGTATTACAGGGTAGGGATACCTTTCCACCCGCCACTGATTGCATTTCCGACATACCTATGGTATAATAAATTAGATAATGGATTAGATTTATGATGGTTCATTAATTTAGTGATTTTTATATTGTTGAATTTTTGCGCGCAAAATGTGCCAAATGTTTGGATATACTAGTGATTTAGTTTTGGATTTTTTACTGTGTTTTGATTATTGTTTAGTATTTATTTAGTTTTATTAATTTAATGGGTTTTAAATATATTGATTTGTTGTTGGTTATATAATATATGGGAATATAAAATAATTTTTATCAGATCAGAGCCAAGAAACCCCTTTTAGGTGTACACATATGCTGTACACACGTAATCGGGGGACAGTTTGCCCCTATGCACACATTTTTATAGAGTATTGCCATTGCATTTCAATTTACAGCATATGTGTACGTTGTATGTGAACACCTAAAAGGGGTTTCTTGGCTCTGATCTGATTTTTATTCAAATTTCATTGCGTGTATTATAGAGTGAGTACATTAATAGTAAATAAACCGGGTTTAAAATAAGATTAAATATATGTTTTATATATACAAATATTCTGTAAATACGATACACAGAAATGTAAGTAAAGTTTTTGAAGTAAAAGCAAAAATTAATCAAAAAAAGTTGCAAAATTTTTTTCACAATAGAAATATATATTTTATATAATACTTGAGAAAAAAAAATACAAAAGCGATGAAAAAGTACAATAGAAGTAAAGAAAATTGAGTGCAAAAGAAAAAAATAAATAGCAAAAAGTCAGTCAAAGATTGAATGCCGAGAGAGAGAGAGAGAGAGAGAGAGCGAGAGAGAGAGAAAGTGTTAATAAAATAAATGTGTTAAATGTTTTGCTTTTTATATTTGCTTTTTTAGATCTAAATTCTTAAGTAAATTACATTTACTTTTTAGAGAGAGAGAGAGAGAGAGAGAGAGAGAGAGAGAGAGCAGGTATGGTATATCTGATAACTTATGCTCTCAGATAAGAAAGCGTAAAAGTTTTATTGTCCTAATTTCAAGACATAAGCCAATCGCCACCCACTGTGGCATCCAATTCAAACACCCTCACCCTCGCTCTACCTCACTCTCCCTCACTCTCTCTAGCCTTCTCTCCCTGCGCTCACTTTACTTCGCCTTCACATCTCAGCTCACCTTAAGCTCAAACCTCACCTCTAGTACCAAACAGTTGTGTTTGAGTTGTATTATTTCCAGTAGACATCCCTCACAACTCGATTCCCACGGTCTCTATCACCCCATCCCAAACATTTTGCTCGACATCCACTCCGAGAGTGCAATAGATGTTGCCTTCGCTTTCCCTCCAGGGCTTGAATTCCAACGATTCCCAAAAGTGACTCTCCATTCCGAACGGTCAGTCAGTCTATGCCTTGTCTTTCATTGCCGTCACAATCATCACCGCAAACATCATAACCATATTTATATGATTATCACAACAATAGCATATTAGACCTCCCGATCACCCCATAAACACCCCCTAACTCATGATACGAGTGACCAAAAACTTGTTTCCAACACAAAGAGACAAAAAACGACCGAATTTAGCAATTGTTGGCCAATTGTTTAGAGTTTAGTTTTAAGTGCTTTTATAACATCCTGTTTGACATTGAAATAATTTTTTCAATACTATATAAATATAGCCGATCTTACATACGGTATACAAGTATAGTATACTTCTTGCTTAACTGAACTGATATGTGGTCCAAATTGGTTGAGACCCTATACCTAAGACCTTAACCACTATATGTAGTGTACATACCGTATATTCCTATGCTATCTATTGAGTCGATATGAGCCGTTTGGTCACAAAAGACAAACAATAGGAAAGGTTGAGCTGCCATTAGTGGGCAACGGCTTGTAAAACGAGCTTTTCATAACTCATAGTGAGTGAGATGGGCTTGAGATGGCTTGAGATGGGCTCTTGTGATTAAAATAACAATAGAAGCCATTATTGGACCCATAGTTCCCCCTCAACACCAAATTCCCGAAAAGGTCGCCGAATGTTAAACCTATTGACTATTTTGTTGGCCTCTAATCTGTCAGTGATTGGCCTTTTGTCCGACTTTATTGTACTTCGTTTTCACCAAAAATAACACCAAATATAATATAAATTGAATGAATGAAAAGTGGTGTCTATTGGTGTCGTTTCGTGTCTATCAAAACATTTGTTGAGTACACGGCATGTGTACACACCGTAAGCATTCTGTGTACGGGTTCTCCACTTCTATAGCACTTCTCTCTCAATTCCTGTACACAATTCCTGTACACCTGTGAATAAATAACCATTTGATTCATTGGATTCACAGCAAAGCCATTTGTCGTGACAGCTCACCAAACATACCACTCAACTACTTGTGTCATTCAAACTCCTATTTACGGCCTTTTTCCCAATTTTGAATCAACTAATAACTTCTCAAAACCCAAACTATAGATCTCTCTATTCATTAAAAAATGTTTCCCATTCATCGAAAATCTCTACCACTGAATGAAACGCTTAAATCACATAAACATAACTCAAATGCTTATTTCATTTACATTTTTGCACTTATCATACATTTGAATTTATACAGAATTATAAACATATTTAATATACAATTGGTTTCATATAATGTTTATGGAAACACTTGCAAACACTTTTATATTGTCAATTCATGTATACATTTGTCTATTTATATGATTATAGAGATTGAAGGAGAAGTTGAACACATTGGCCATTTCGGTGATGAATCAGTGGCCGGGAGTCAAACTGAGAGTGACTGAGGGGTGGGATGAAGAGGGCCATCACGCCATCGATTCACTTCATTACGAGGGCAGAGCTGTGGACATAACGACCAGTGATAGGGACCGATCCAAGTATGGAATGCTCGCCCGTCTGGCCGTTGAGGCCGGCTTTGATTGGGTCTACTATGAGTCCAGGTTTCACATCCACTGCTCTGTTAAGTCCGGTGCGTATACTTGAAGTTTGATCCCTAAAAAACTTCATTAATTTATTACTTTGTATACAACAAACATCACAAACAAAAATTAACTTGACTTTAGTTTCGAGAGTGAGATAAGGAGACAAACAGTGTTTTTATGGCATAAATCAATAAATACATTGAATGTCAGGAATAGGAGTAAAGAGGGCTTTGCGCTAAAGAAGCGAACCAACGGTTCCTCAGACCTAAAGATTTATATTTATATATATATATTGAGTGTTAGCATGAGTTTACATGTCGTGAATTGGCTGTTATAAGCGAATGTTGTATACGATATGATATGAATGGATGAGATTAGATAACATGGCTATGGCTTTGGTTATGGCTATGACTATTGGATGGGAACCGGTGTTCGTGAATATGAGTGCTGACTATCGGTGCGATGCAAGCGCTGCACCTCTTTGTTGATGTACGCGATGTCTATGTATTGGAGAATATATTCGCAACGATTCTTAATATTAACGAATTTAAGTCAAATATGCATCTCATATACACTACACTATACTTGTATAGTGTATACCATTTATATAACATGTATTGGCCGACAGTTTATAGACGAGTGCTCTGACTGTGTGGCGGTTGAGGGCTGGCGTGTCATGCCGTGCATCACTACTCACGTCATACAACGGCTATAATTTTTCATTTCAGTTACGGCTAAAAGAGCCAGAAATTGATTTTTGCCTTAAATTTCTTTACAAATAATTTTCTAAATCCATCAATCATTGGGTGAAACACTGCCCCCTCTCAGAGCCCAAGTGTTTTCTAATGGACATAACGATACATACAGTACAACATAGGGCTGAGGGACCCATGTTTTCTATCAGTGCCCAACCTGTGAACTTTGTCGGCCAAAAACCAGCTCTCGTTCAGCACTGGGCGGCCATATATTGAACAGATCTTTATCTATTACTCCCCATAGTTTTCACCTAACGTTTTGGTGTATTGTATATACGGCTCACTATTTATCCATTTATTTACATCTCTTCTCTTTAGGCGAAAATTTATAAACTTTTGACGAACTGTTTAATCAATTCTTGTTTTGCCAAACTTTCCATTCGTTTCCCATTATTACCCTAATCTCAAACTATTATTCTCGTTATTCGCTTCTCGTTTCTCTTTCCCATCTTCTCCTCCATTACAGAAGGAAATTAAAAAAATATTTTTACGAATTTATCTGAAAATCAGTTTCAGGTAAAGACGAGTCCATAAGAGTTGCAGACATGCCGATGGACTGGTATGCGATATATAGTGTATTGAATAATATTGTTATCAGTAGTAGAGTATTGGTCCGTATTTTATGACAATTTAGAGCTAGGATTGTGGGACTGGTATTGCAATAATTGAATCAAAGGTTGTATAGTTGTCAGAGTAGAGTACAGTGAGTGTGAGGGCGTGAGAACTGCCCGAATCTATTATCTCATGACATTTGAACGACCAAATGATGACTTCGACACAAACTTTGCTTTAACTCTATGTCTGAATAATTATTGCAGCAATAGTTGTAAAGGTAAGGGACTGTGGGATCTGTGGGTGCATTCCTTGGTGTTTGAGATATATTGGACTCAAAACTAGATATAAAGTAATTTTCTTGTTTTAAAAGGAAGCGAATGTCTCATAGGATATGTATATATGTCTGCGCCAGCAATATATGGCAGTATATGGCTATACATATATAAATTGGTTTTATTTGATGAGTGATTATGGTTACCTCCCGGGTAGGACTCAATTACCTGCTGTAAAATTTGTCCCCTTGTGTTGAATGGGCCGTTAAAATACCATTTGAGTTGCATTTTATCTGTTGAATATAATCCCCACTTCTTATATTCAATTCATGTCACAATACACAGCAATTTTCACTCAAATACTCCTCAAATACAACCACTTTTATTGCTTTCGTTTGTTTTTATGTTTGATTCTTGATTTTTATTTCGTCTGAATTGCCTTTTTTGAGCACAAAATTTAATTGCATTCGCGTTAATACATACGACATATAGACTAAACATATATATAATTGACCACAAAATACACGTACAATCTGTGAACTGATTTGCATTGACAGAAGTTTTTCTAATCATTTGATTGTGTGTTTTCAACAGAGAAATCAGAGGCGACCCGTTCTGGCGGTTGTTTCGATGGCAGTAGTATTGTCTTCAACAGAGATGGTGTGCTTCCCATCAAAGACGTGACGGTCGGCGATGAGATCCTATCAGTGGATTCAAACGGCAATTTGCAATTCAGTGAAGTCCTACTATTCCTGGACAGAGATCCCGACGCGCCTCGACTTTACTACGACATCGAGACTGAGTCCGGCTCTAAGATATCGCTCACACCGTCTCATCTGATTTATGTGACGGACGACAACACGACAGTCGAGAGCCGACGCATGAGTCGAGTGGAGTACGCGAAGAATGTCCAGAAGGATCAGTTCCTGTATACCTCTTCATTAGGTGATAATAAGTGGTTGACATCCACTCTGGAGAGTCTAAAGTCAAGCAAACACTCGGTCTCTATGGACAGAGTGGTGAGTGTGAAGACTCGGGTGGCTTCGGGTGCGTTCGCGCCGCTGACCCGCGCCGGCAATTTGATTGTGAATAACGTAATCGCTTCGTGTTATGCAGTGATTGGCGATCAAAGTGTCGCTCATTTCTCATTCTTTCCGATAAGACTATTTGAAAGTATCAAAGACTCGATCCAATCGATGGCCTCTTTATTGCACTTAAGAGACCGACAGTCAAATCACAAGATTGTGTCTTCGCATCAAATCGGTGTTCACTGGTATCCAAAACTGTTATATAGTTTATCAAAATATATCGTGCCTTCGGATCAAATGTATTAATTATTGCATAACTTATATATCAAATCATAAGAGAATCGATACAGACATCGGAAACCATACAAATCATTGCCATTCAAACCAATTGTGATTCTAATGAATTAGTGACTAATCTATACTTATATTAGAATTACACTAATATTTCATTTGTTAAATATTTCACTTTAGACCGCATATCATATTATATCATATATTTTCTTATTTAATTTATTTTTATTATTTTTTAGTTCAAAGTATTTTTCAATAAATAAATAATTAAATACATAAATCAACAAAATGTTAGAAATGTGTATTTTTTTCATCACATAAATGTCTCATAACATAATACTATGTAAAATAATAATAATGTTTGAAACACTTTTTTGAAACTTTAAATTTCAAAAAAATAGAAAATAAATTAATGAATCAAATAAAGTAGTGAACTATAAATTGTATACAATTAATAATATTGTTTTTAAATTTAAACGGAATCAACAAATGATGTTAAATATAATATCTATTTATATAAACATTTTTATTAATATATCTTTTCCACGAAAAAATAGTTAAGTTTTTAAAATAAATAGAAATAGTAATTAAAATTTAATATTTATTTATTTCGCGAATTCAATGGATATATAATACAACGTTAATGCAGTTGTTTTACATATTATGCTATTCATGTATTGCATATAATGTTTGTTATTCTGGTAGTTATTGCCGCTAAACAAACAAACAATGATTTGTTAAATGATAACAATTCTGGCGAATAATTGAATATAATTATAATATATATATTAATTATACGATTGTTTGCTTCAAAGGACATAACTGTATAATAAATAAGTTATGGCTTTTATTGATAATTGCCTCAAATGTTTAAGCCCATAATGCGAGCATTAATGTCCATAATGCAACAATTTATTATTAGTACAATAAATTAATTGTAATGCAATTAAAACAAATATAATTAATTAGTTGTAAGCGTAGATCGTTTTAAATAAATTAGTATTTATTTGAATCCGTTTTCAGTTATACTGTAAATATAATTTCATCATAAAATGAAAATATATTAAATTTATTTGTTTTTAATGCTAATTGTTTGGCAGAGATTTACCAGAATTATTGAATTTGATAAACGGCATCACTTTTCTCCCATTAAAACAACTGGATTTGCACTTAAATACAGTATAAGCGCTTCAATAGTAATACATTCATATACTGTATATTATATAAAATTATTATTTTTATTAAAACATATTGTATAAATTGAAAGTATTAAATAATTGACAACTATTAAGTTTGTTATTTTGTTGAATAACTTAAGCTAATTCTGGGTAAGTTACCCAGGGTAACGATATAAAAAACATACAAAAATCGTGTTAATGTGATACTTATTTCCATCAATAAGTCTTAAACATAAATAAATTAATGCAAATATTGAATGTTTAATATTATTTAAAATAAAATTTAAAAACGGTTAAATTACAAGTTTTCAATTACAAGTTGATTGAATATGAAATACAGTATATCTAAAAATGTAGTCAATATTATATATATATAATATAAATAATATATTTAATAATATTTAGTGAGCATTTAGATTACAAGTTATTAGTAAAAGTAAGATTTAAATTCATTTGCAAACCAATATTCAAAACGTTAAATGTATACAAAAATTCATGACTTGAGCAAAATTAATAGCCGATTAAGTTTAGTGATTATGTCATTATTGTTATGGATATGTGAGTGTATGGCTTAAAAGTTAGCTTCTTATGGTTTATCATGTTAAAACACATTTTATAAATAATTCATTTGTCTTTGAGTGATATATTTGCTAAATATTTGCCATAAAAAGAAACCAAAAATACAAAAATAAAATAAAACACAATTTCATAAACACTAATCTTTGTTGAAAGAAGTGCCTATCGTTGAGATCTAAATGGAAAAACTAATACTTATTTAACACTGAAATTAATTTCACATTAATGAACACAAATTTGTTTCATTCGTGTTTTTTATTAAGTTTTAATTCACGGATTCAAGTGATTTTCACAGCCAAATATTTTGGTTAAAAATGATTATTGACTTATAATAATGTAATAAAAGTTTACATCAAAGCAGAGAACATAAAAAAAGAGAATTTCACTTAAAAGTGAAGAATTTTGGCCACAAAAATATATTGTGATGAAGACATGCATTCATTGAATCTCTGAACGAATGAAAGGGGAAAAAGTTATCAAAATATCACTGAAACGAATCGTTAAAGTTATCTAAAAGTAATGAAAACTATTCCCATAGACTATACACAGTATTATTAGCGCTTCAATCGTAACTTATGTGACATTTATTTTTCAATCTTAAACTCGTTTTTATGTTTATTATCTTATTCTCTCTCTCTCTCTCTCTCTCTCTCTCTC